CAATGTATTTTGGGCCTATTTTTCCAATTTTCATAACCCTGAAAATAGGAAAATAGTTTCCTTAAATAAGTATGCTATTTAGCCAATTAAAAATTTTCTGTAACATAATAACTATAGTAGCTAGATGCCTAGCCACTGGCGCCTATCATAACTATAGAATTTATGTATCATATTTGTAATTGCCTTTTATAGTTACTTCACTAATTAGTATCAGCTTTCTATACTACATAGCCGTCTATGTCTGGTGCTGTTAATCAATTATTATGTGATATTTTTGAGTTAAAAAGCAAACATTAAGTGTACTATCTAGCTAGTCATAGTGACCCATTTCTTTAATTCAAGCTAGTCCAGTGGCAGAGATTGAGAGGATTTCATCTAGGCCACCCCTCCAAAAAAAATTGTTGAGAACCCATCTCAACCAATAAGCTAGGTTCGGAGAATCACGTCTGTGATCCCAGTTACTTGGGAGACCATAGGTAACACGATTTTAGTCCAAGGCCTTCCTAGGGCAAAGACAAAAGATCCTATCCAAAAAATAACTAAAGTAAAATAAAGTAGTAGGAGTGTGGCTTACATGGTAGTGTGGGCTTAGGAAGTTCAAACTCCATAACTGCATGTGTGTGTGTGTGTGTATAATCATCCATAAAAAAGATTGTATGTCAATGTAATTATATTACTTTCAAACTTAAGCTACAACTGGGCAGTGCTTTAGAAATGTTAATAAAATTTAGCTGTGGATTTAGTAAACATAAAATGCAAAAGTGATATGGTTTGAACAGTGCCTTCAAAAAGTTTTGAAAGTTACTCCTTCCTTTTTTGTGTGTGTTCAGATCTTTGGGCTTGAACTCAGGGCCTAGGTTCTGTTCTTGAGCCCCACCCTCACCTCCTGCCCAATGCTAGTGCTTGACTACTTAAGCCATAGTTTCACCTTTGGCTTTTTGGTGGTTAATTGGAGAAAAGAATCTCATTGACTTTCCTTTCCAGGCTGGCTTTGAATCACAATCCTCAGATCTCAGCCTCCTGAGCAGCTAGGATTACAGGTGTGAGCCACTGGTGCTCCACATTCCTGGCTCTTCTTCTTCTTCTTCTTCTTGCCAGTCCTGGGGATTGAACTCAGGGCTTGGGCACTGTCCCTAGGATTCTTTTGCTCAAGGATAGCACTCTACCACTTGAGCTACAGTGCTACTTCTGGCTTTTTCTGTGTATGTGGTACTGAGGAATTGAACTCAGGTCTTCATGCATGCAAGGCAAGCACTCTACTACTAAGCCACATTCCCAGGCCCCTGCCACTTTTTAAAAGCATAAATACAAAGAAGAATTGAAAGTACTAAAGTATTAATGATTTATCTTTGGATTGTGAGATGATTTATTTATAATAACTTTCATTCCTATCCTTATCTGTTCCTTCAAATTTTCTTCAGTGAAGAGCTAATATGAGACAGGAAATTCTCTTAGTCTGTTTTCTCTATCCCACTTTTTAATTTTTGTCTTAGTATTTATCACTCTGACATATATTATTTATATTGTGCTTATGTTACTTAGTCTACCACCACTCCTGCTGGGAAAAATTCTTCAGAAGGACAGTGACTTGTTTTGTACATTGCTGTATCCCAAGAGCCTAGGAAAAATGTCTAGTATATATAGTAGGTGCTATAAATACACATTAAGCAAATTAGTGAATATATTGTTTTTGTTACAAAGAAAATTTTATTGTAAATAAGCTTTTGAAAAAAGTAAAAATTTCATGTTTGAAGAGGAGTGCACACAAATGGAAGGAGAAAGGGTGAGTAAATGCAGTCATATTCAATGTACATTATGTAAAAACTGAACTATATAACTTGAGCATAAGGGGAAAAATGGGGAAGAATAATGGAAAGAGTGATCTTGTCCAAGATGCATTGTACTCATAATCTGACTTATGGAATTGACACCTTTCTACAACTACTTAATTAAAAAAATTAAAACATCTAAAATTGTGCATTGAAAACAAATATGCATAGAAAACAAATATCAAGTATCATACAATTTTAAACTCCAAAGGAGTTTGTAATAATGACTTTTTTTTTGTCAGTCGTGGGATCTGAACGCTGGGCCTGGGTGCTGTCCCTCAGTATTTAAGCTCAAGGCTAGCACTCTACCACTTGAACCACAGTGCCACTTCTGGCTTTTTCTGCTTATGTGGCTCTGAGGAATGGAACCCAGGGCCTCATGCATGCAAGACAAGCATTCTACCACTGAGCCATCCTTCCAGCCCAATAATGACTTTTAATGAGCTTTTCTTTCTTCATATTTCAAGGTTTCTGAATATTCTTTACAGAAGAAAGTGAGTGAAATGGTAAGGAAATTACTATATATATATATAAATTACCCACTTGGCTAAGTATACATAAGATCTATTGAAATATTGTGATTTTAAATCTGACATTGGTTTCAAAAACAATAACATAAATAGTTTAAACTGGATATTGCTATATCATCTAAAGGCCTACCATAATTTCAAGTACAGTATAGTTTAGGTGAATTATTTCACAAATTTATTTGTAGTTTTCATAATCTTACATATTGCAAAATGAGTTCTAAAATCTAATGATTTTTCTAGGTATTTATGTATAAATATAGTTATTATAGACTGAAAAAATATATAGTGGAATTTCATGGTATTTATTCTATAGAGTTCTACACTTAGGATATGGTATTTATTATTTATTGTTCAACAAGTATTTATTTCTTATTTTATATATAAATTAATATTTCTGCTTTTTACAGTATAACATTTTATAGAATATTTTCTTTAATAGTCTCCTTTTGTAACCCTTTTTGATTTAGAAAGATTTTTTCTGTGATTTTGATTGAACAAAATTCTTCTATATCCACTTAAATCTTCAGAAGGCTTCTTGTATGGGTTTGTGCTATGCAGTCTTCATTCTCTGGAGTAACACAAGTAAAATTAATTTTTGAGCATGCCATATTATACATATATATATAGTAAGAAATAACAGAACACTCCTATGGCATAGATATTTTGCTTCTTTGAATTGTTTTGGTGCATCAAAAAATAAAAGAGTTCATAGAAGATTGCTGTTAAGCTTGATTGAATAAAAGATGTGAAAATTCTGTTGCTGTTCAACTGGAAAGAGTAAAGATAATATTGTCAGACTATTTTAAACTGCAATTTTAATTAAGAAGCTGAAAAACTAGATTCCAGTTTAGCTTTAAGTACTGTGACATTTGTACAGAAAGTCATCTTCAACGCTACAATGGTTTTACACAAAATATAGTGAAATTGAATAATATGCCCTTTGACCTGGGAGATAGGACTACAAGTTAAAGATCAACACCAACATAAAATGTCTTTTATTTTATTCTAGCTTAAAATTTCATTAAACAGATATTATAACCTTAAAAAACATGGGAATGCAGTACACTTATCCTAGTGTTTGGTTACTTTCCAAGTTTTTTTGTTACTATGAATCTTAGCTTAAATGCTATTTGAGTTATAGTTATAATTTTTCTGGCAGTTCAAAGCATTTATATTACTGTCATTTATATTACTGTTCATTAAAATAATTTTGTGTATTGATCAGTGTTTTATATATCCTCTGACAGAATACTTATATTTTTATTCAAAAGTTACAAATATTCTTTCATTCTAAATAGTCTTGTATATTTTTGTCTTAGGTTGTAATTCTTATCTCATTATTATTTTATTATATAAATTATATCATCTTTTCATTATTTAAATTTAATCTTAGTTTATTCTAAGTGGTATATCATCCTTTTATAATATTTGTCTTTATGGGCAAGACAGGAAATAAGTTAGCAACTATAGTAATGTAAAGGTGGGACCTCATTTTGAACTCAGGGCTTCATACCTGTAGGCAGACTGTCTGTTACTTGATACACTTGATAATAGTCTCACTCTTTGCTCTGGCTGACCTGGACCAAGATCTTCCTAGTTACTCTTCTTACACTAGTCTGACAAGTATGCACAGCTACACTTAGATTTTTTTCAGTTGAGATGAGATCTTTCAAACTTTTTGCCTAAGCAAACCTCAACAGCAAGCCCCCTGATCTTAGCCTCCCAGGTAGTTAGAATGACGGGCATGAGCCACCACACCCAGCAAGAAACTTTTAAAAGAAGTCCATGATAGGCTGGTTATAGAGGCTCATGTTTGTAATCTTATATAACTTGGAAGATGGAGATCAGGAGGATCACAGTTCAAGTTCAGCTCAAGCAAATAATTGGTTAGATTCCTTTTCAACAAATAAACTAGGCGTTTGGTGTGCATGTGATCCTATCTACATTGGAGGCTATAAGTAGGAGGACCATAGTTTGAAGCTGGCCTTGAGCAAAAATTTGAGACCCTAATTGAAAAGTAACTAAGGCAAAAATGGGGCTTGGCAGGGTCGAGTGGTAGAGTGATTGCTTAAAAAGACCTGAGTTCAAACCCAGACTCTACTACTGAAAAAAAAATCCATCGTCTCATTTCCTACAGGTAAGCACTTAAGTACTAGTAAATCTCTGTCTTCTGGAAATTCAGTAAGCTGATTTTCTTGTAGAAGTGGTGGTTTTTCTCTAGATATGTTTATCATGAATGGAGAGATTTGTCTATTAAACTCTATTCTGTAAACCTATCCTTGAAAAAAGATTATAGTAGTTACCAAAAAGGAATGTATCAAAACATGTTAGAGAAAAAATATAGAATATTAAATTAGCTATCACTGTGATTTGGTAAGTAAGAAAAATCTTTCCTGTTGTGTTCAGTTTTAACTATATCGATATCTTATATACTTTAATTATAGATGACTGTTGTATAACTGTGTAAGCTAATATTGCTTGATAGGTAAAAATTTATCAGATCATCTTTAAATCACATTTTTTTGTCTTTTCTTTTTTGGTACTAGGGAGCGTTTAAGTTGTATTTACTTGTTTTTTTTTTTTTATCACTTTTTCTTACAGAAGACATGTAAAAGAAAGATCTCATTTTTTTCCACATTAAAGAAATAAGGAATGCTTCACACATTTGTGTGTCACCCTTGTGCAGGGGCCATACTAATTCTGTGTATCATTCCAGTTTTAGTATATGTGCTACTGAAGCGAGCAGGTTTTCACATTTTTATTTGTGTAAATTAATATACAAAGGGGTTTCTTTGTGATATTTACTTAGTGCATATAATGTACTTCGATCAAATTTACTCCCTCTATGTCTTTCTTTAGCCCCTCTGTTCCTCTCTTTTCTCATGGATTTCTTTATGCTATTTTCATGCATATATAATGTACTTTTGATCATATTCACCTCTCACCTCTGTCTTCTTTCTTCCTCCATGTTACTGTTTTCCCCCCAACAGCCCCCTATTTAAAATCACACTATATTATGATGCTTACTTATTATTTTAAGTCTAGATCTCTCATAGGAGTTCAAATGATATCTTTCTGAGCTTACCTTGCTCAAGATGATAGTTTCTGGTACCATCCATTTTCTTGCAACTAACTTAATTTCAAACTTTTTGTTATGGCTGAAAAGTACTCCATTGAATATATGTATCACATTCTTTCTGTCTACTTACTGATTGTTGGGTCTGTAGATGATTCCATAGCTTGGATATTATGAATAGTACTGCTGTAAACATGAGTGTGCAGCTATCTCTGTTGTATGTTGATCTGTTCCTTTGGGTAGAGGCCCCCAGAATGGTATAGCTTAGCAAAATCATATGGCAGTTCTATTTTTAGTGTTTTTTTTTTTTTAATTGGTCATGAGGCTTAAACTCAGGGACTGGGCTCTGTCCCCCAAGCTCTTTTTGTTCAAGGCTAGAACGACAGGGTCACTTCAGGTTTTTGTTGATTAATTGGAGATAAGAATCTCATGGACGGGGCTGGGAAGGTGGCTCAGTGGTAGAGTGCTTGCCTTGCATGCATGAAGCCCTGGGTTCGATTCCTCAGCACCACATAAGCAAAAAGAAAAAAGCCAGAAGTGGCGCTGTGGCTCAAGTGGTAGAGCGCTAGCCTTGAGCTGAAGAGCTGAGGGACAGAGCCCAGGCCCAGAGTTCAGGCCCCACGACTGGACCCAAACAAAAAAAAAAAGAATCTCATGGACTTTCCTGCCTGGGTTGGCTTTGAACAGCAGTCCTCAGGTCCTCAGTAGCTAGGATTACAGGTGTGAGCTACCAGTGCCCAATTATTTTTAGTTTTTAAAAGGACCTTCATACTGATTTCCATAATGGCTGCTATAATTTCTTTTTTTCTTTTTTTTTGTTGGTAGTGGGGCCTGAACTCTGGGCCTGGATGTGTCCCTCAGCTCTTCAGCTCAAAGCTAGCACTCTACCACTGAGCCACCTTTCCAATCCCTATAATTTCTTTTTTAACTAAAGCAAAGGTTGATATGATTGATAATTATGTATTTTCTTTCAGAATAAAATGTTTTTAGATTGAAGATTGTCTGGAAATTACTTCATGATTGTAAATATTATGTATTATCTATATACACATATTAACATCATACCTTTAGGTTTTATAAGTAATATGCATGCTTTATATTAATGACTAAAGAAATAAAGATAAGAAAGATATCAGTTTGGGCGTGCTGGTGGCTCAAGCCTGTAATCCTAACTACTCAGGAAACTGGAAGCTACCTTGAAAACCGGAAGTGGTGTTGTGGACCAAGTGGTAGAGCTCTAGCCTTGAGCTGAAGAGCTGAGGAACAGTGCCCAGGCCCAGTATTCAAGCCCCAGAACCGACCCTCCTCCCCCCCAAAATGTCATCTATTTGTAAAAATTGAGTTTTATGCTGGGTATTTGTGGTTCATACCTGTAATTCTAGCAACTCAGGAGTAGGAGATCTGAGGATCATGGTTTGAAGCCAGCCCAGGCAGGAATGTCTGTGAGACTTATATCCAATAAACTACTCAAAAAAAAAAAAAATTCAGAAGTAGAGCTGTGGCTCACATGATAGAGCACTAGCCTGAGTAAAAAAGCTAAAGGATAACACTTAGAGACACACACACACACACACACACACACACACACACACACACACACACACGCACACACACGCACGTACGCATGCACGCACGCACACACACACACACACACACACTCTCTCTCTTAAAGAAAAAGATTGAGTTTTCTAATTATTGTTTGGTCTGGGTTTATATGAAAAACACAGCAAAATTGGAAATTAAGAATATGTAAAATTTACCTTAAGTTTTTTTCTATGAAATTTATCTATGAATAATTGTCTCCAGAAGTTTTTACATTATTCTTCTGAAGCAAATAAGAAGAAAGGAAATGTATAGCTATGATTTTTATTAGTGCATGTCTTTCTAAAAAAATATGTACAAATACTATTTTAAAATTATTCCCACTTTAAATATCTTAAGGCTTTAAAGTAAACAAAGACTACACACACATATATAACTATGCACATGTTTTTTCTCTAATCTTGATTTTTATAGATTAGTTTAAAATGAGGTTCACATGATTTAGAGGGTAGTGCATCTTGCTATTTTCCTTTAAACTAAGTCTTGTGAACTTAGTAAATCTTTACTATTTTAGTAGTAAAATAGTGTAGGAGAAATAATAATTCAATTCACAGAGGGAAGAAGAAAACATAATATGTACTTAATTCAGTTCAACAATACAATCTTTGTGGTTAGGATATTGCATGTAATTTTTAAGCTTTAATGATAATAATATCATTACTTTGAATTTGAAAAGCAGAATTATATCATGCAAAGAAATGAAACTGAGTTTTCTGTCTCTTCCTCTTCCTCTCTCTCTTCCTTTTCCTCCCCTCCTCCCCATCTCCTCCTCCTCCTCCTTCATTTCACTATGGTTTTATTCACTGAAGACCTTCCAGATATCTGGAGTCTTAAAAAGTTGTCCTTAAGGAGTTATACAAAATGATTTCAATTCAGCATCTCAGTTTATTTGTACAAAGCATATTGAATAATGTCACCCCTTCCATTTTTCTCTATTGCATTTTCCTTGAGTTCAACCTTGATTTTAAGCAAAGGATGTTAGACTAGAATGTATCATACCAAAGTAATGTATATTGAGCTCTATGAATAGGGAGTGCCTATAGAATATTGTTTCAGTATATTTTTTCCTGAACATTATTGTAGTTACTACATTATTTTCTGCTCATGGAGGCTAAGGAGGCTTTTGTAGAGTTGTGTAATAATATGTAGTAGAAAGTGTTCTCTTAACATCTATACAAATACTGATTTGAATTAAAAAACTGGAAAATTCTTTAAATTGAAAATATACTGTTAAACAGTTTTTAGTGAAATAGTATTTGATTTCTATACATCTGCTACAGGTTAATATAATTTCATAAGTCAGCAATTAAATGATACTTTAGACAAGATTAATATGGGTCATTATTTTTCATTGTTTAGTAATTGAAAATAATGATTACTCAAGTAAATAGAAGATCTCAAAGGTTGTCAACTTGTTTTATTTGTAACTGCCACACAATCTATACAGATGGATCAAATTGTGACTCTGAAAGACCACAGAAATATGTCAGAAACTTTCAGCTGATCTAACATAATTGCCAATTACACTATCACTTTATTTAAAATAATTAAAAAATAACTTTGAAAAAGTTAAAACTAGTATAAGATTTACCAAGATAATTTAGTAAGCTATAGCTCAAATTGTAATGTGTTTTCTTTATTAGTATTAGTGAAAGCTGTTTTTATTTTAAACAAAAATTAAAATTGTTAAAGATAGTTTTATCAGCAAAGGAATAATAAAACCTCATACTGGGTTGAAAGCATGACTTAGTGGTAGAGCATTTGCCTAGTATAGAAAGCCCTGGGTTCAATCCCAGTACCATTAAATAGTAATAAATAAAGGCCTCAAGTGCAGAGGATCTTGTAACAAAAATAAATAAACACCTCATGTTGATCATTTTGTGTTGGGCTTTGTTGTGTAGTTTTTATACATTCATTTTATCCTATCCTCCTGGTAGTCAGGATCACATTGGCAGAAATTAAAGGCAGAATTTATAGGCAGATTCGCTTTTGACCACTGTGCCATATTTTATGTACTTTGGTTTAAAGCAGTACAAAATAATTCCAGTTAACTTACACAAATGTAAATTGAGTGAAGGCATTTACAACCAGGTAGACAATAGAGAATTACTTTGGTACTCAACAGGGAGAAGTTTAATTTCAGAGTTTATGGAGCAAGATATAGAAATCCCAAACAAGCTTTGGATAGGAATACCATTGAGCTATTTATTTTAGTTAAGTGTTTTTGTTTCTTGAGATTCAGTTCTGGGAAGGCAGAAATAAATTGGTTTATTTTGAGTAACATCAACTTCTCTTTACTATGGAAGAATAGGGTCCTTGAATCAATAATGAACATTATAGTTCTGTCAGACAAAGGAAATGGATCCTGGTTAGGAGGAATCTAACAAATTTCCACTTTGGAAGTTTATAGGACAACAATTCATTCAGAAAACAATTATTGAGGGCTGGAAAGAGGTAGCTCAGTGGTAGAGTGCTTTCCTTGCAATCATGAGGCCCTGGGTTTGATTCCTCAGCATCACATAAACAGAAAAAGTCAGAAGGTGCTGTGGCTCAAGTGGTAGAGCGCTAACCTTGAGCTGAAGAGCTGAGGGACAGTGCTCAGGCCCAGAATTCAAGCCCCATGACCGATTTAAAAAAGAAAAAAAAATTAGTGAGTGCCACCTGATTGGCATATACCATTCTTTATTTTAAGAATCAGAAACAGTTGCTTTTTTTTTTTTTTTTTGCCAGCCCTGGGGCTTGAACTCAGGGCCTAGGCACTGTCCCTGAGCTGCTTTTGCTCAAGGCTAGCACTCTACTACTTGAGCCACAGTGCCACTTCTAGCATTTTCTGTTTATGTGGTACTGAGGGCTTCATGCATGCTGGGCAAGCACTCTACCTTCCCAGCCCAGAAACAATTTTTTTTTTTTGTTTTTTTGATTTTTTTTTTTTTAAGTGAAGCCAATTAATATCAAGTCAACATAAAAAACTTTTAAAGACTATTGTTGATTCTGTTACCATTTTTCTTTCTTTTTTATATGTGTGTGTGGGGTCCAGTCGTGGGGCCTGAACTCTGGGCCTGGGCGCT